AGATAGAATCTCTGACTTTTCTGCCTTGGCTGGTTTTAAATCTCAATGCTCAGATTTCAGATTGCAAGTAACTAGACTCATAGGTATGAGCTACTGGTGCTGATTATATGTGTGTGTGCATACATGCACGTGTATATACATGCATGTGTGCATATTTGTATATATGTACATTATGTATATGTGCATGGGTTTACACATGCATGTATATATGCACATATATTTATGTGTATAAATATATATGCACACATGACTATGTTTATATGTGCATAAATAACATGCATATAATTTCTTTTGTCAATTATAGGGCTTGAACTCAATGCCTGAGCACTGTCCCTGAGATCTTTTGCTGAAGGCTAATGGTCTACCACAGCTAATGCTCTGCCATAGCTCCATTTCTGGTTTTTTGGTGGCTAAATGGAAATAAGTCTTGCAGACTTTCCTGCCCAGGCTGTCTTCGAACTGCAATCCTCAGCTCTCAGCCTCCTGAGTATCTAGGATTACAGGCATGAGCCACTGGTGCCCAGCCCCATGCATACATATTTTAGCTCTAGGACTATTTAGGAGGATGAGGAGAGGAGGAGAAGGGTAAAGAAAGATATAGGGTGAATAATTTCAAAATACAATGTAACTATGAAGATAGAATTTTTAAAAATCTCAATGAAAGCTGTTGATCAACAGAGGATTAGAGGTGGGGAAAAGGAAAACAACACATATTCTGAGCAAAACATAATATACACACATCTGAAAACCCACAGTGAAAACCCTTGGTGCAATTAATACACACATAAAAATGAGTGACTGGAAAACAAATAGACTGTTAGAGGGTAGGTACCAGCAGAAATGGGGGAGGACTAAAGATGATGAATTAGGATGAATATGGTAGAAGCAGTTTGTTTGCATATATGAATATGGAACAATGAAACCTGTTGAAATTGTTTTAAGGAGGGGGAGTGGGGTAAAGGAGAGTGATAGAGGGGATGAGATTGATAGGAATACAATGCATACATGTGTGGAATGACAATGAAACCACCATATGACATTGCACCCTCTTGTGTACTGTGGTTACAGTATACAAATAAAAAATATGAAAATAAGATGACACTATTTTTTCTTTTTTAAATCATCTAAGATGGCTTTTTGGGCAATACATAGTGGAGTTATTTTATATGAGTATATGTAAAGTTATTTTACATATTTATATGTATTTATTTTATTATATATTAGAAAAAATATATGTAACCTACCATGGTGGCTTCCTCAAATGATTTATCCACAATCTAATCCCAAGATTCATGGACATTACCTTATTTGGAAAAGAGGTCTTTGTAGATATAATTCAGGATTTTCACATAGCGTGGATCAGCTGTGCTGGGACTGAAATTCACTGACTAGTATGTTTATGAGAGTCAAAGAGATAAAAGGGAAAATTAATGTGATAAGACAGGCAGACATTGGAATGGTGGGGCCCCATAAGCCAGGAACTGCCTATATCTACCAGAAACTGAAACCAATTTTCCTCTAGAATTTCCTGATGGATAATGGCACTTAATTTAAAACTTCCTGCCTCCAGGATTGTGAGAGAAAAGTTTTAACTATTTTAAGCCATCAAGTTTGTGGTAATTTGTTGCAGCAATCTTAGGAAACTAATACCTAAACTGAAATCAAAATCTCTCCAGATTCATTTCTTTATTTGTGTTTGTTTATTCATCCATTAATTCATTTAGTTAGCTATTTTTTTATAAGAAAGGAAATAATAAGTTGGGCCACAGTGGCTCATGCCTGTAATCCTAGCTACTCAGGAGGTTGAGATCTGAGGACTGTGGTTCAAAGACAGCCCAGGCAGGAAAGTCCTTGAGACTCTTCAATAACTATCAAAAAGGTGGAAATGGAGCTCTGGCTCCAGTAGTAGAGCACCAGCTTTGGTAGAACACACGTGTGTGTGTGTGTGTGTGTGTGTGTGTGTGTGTGTGTGTGTGTGTGTGTGTGTGTGTGTGTATGAGATAGAAAAAAAAGAGTAAGAGAATATAAGACTACGTGAAAATATATGCCAAAAATATTAACAACAGTAAATGGGTATGAAGGGAAGATATATATGACCAAAGTAAGTTGAATGCTGTTCATTCATTTTAATTAAGAAATCCTCTTTCTGAATCTAGGCACTGGTGGTTCATGTCTGTGATCCTAGATATTCATGAGGCTGAGATCTGAGGTTCAAAGCCTGCCTGAGCAAGAAAAGTCCATGAGACTCCTATTTCTGACTCACCACCAAAAAGCTAGAAGTGATAGAGCACGAGATTTGAAGTGAAAAAGCCAAACAAGAGTACAAGGCCTGACTTCAAGTCTCAGTACTAGTACACACACACACACACCCCAAAATTCTATTTGTAGGAAATAATCAGGAATTAAAACAGAGTGCAGGTGACAACCATGTGCTCAGATGTGTGGTATGGTGAGCTACTAATTCAGAAAAGGGGTATAGCATCGTTGTTCTAAGTTAGACAGCTACAAGCTAATCCTAAATCATGATATAGACCAGGTGACTCCCCCTCACTGGGGGCAATGACAGCATTACATGAGAACGAAGACTCCCTGTCTTTGTCCTCTGAGACATGACTATTGTTCAGCAACCATGTATGACAAGCTCAAAACAAATATCCTGGAAATGGCAAACAACAGCAAAGTGCTCAGACCACTTACTATCCAGAATTTTCTGAATACTGAGCCAATTTCAAACTGGCTTCAAATCTTAGAACTCTTGTTCTATTTAAGTAATACCTGGAGGGAAAGAATGTGGATTAGTGGTAGAGTGCTTGCCTAGCATGCATGAAGCACTGGGTTTGATTCCTCAGTACCACATAAACAGAAAAAGCCAGAAGTGGCACTGTGGCTCAAGTGGTAAGAGTGCTAGCCTTGGCAAAAGAAGGGACAGTCCCCAGGTCCTGAGTTCAAGCCCCAGGACTGGCAAATAAATAAATAAATAAAACCTGGAAAAACATTTCTGGAGTTATTATGTATACTGAGATTACAAACTTGAGTGGCCATGTATATTTGACAATATTTCACTGAGTACTTTTGCTACAGGTACAATTGATTTTTATCTAACACTAAGTAAGCTCTGCTTCCTCTTGGTATTAACTATGACTAGGCTTCAGGAACAAGCCCATGTTTCACAACAATTAGCAAATTTTGCTGTGTTTGCTGTGTTTCTAAAAGGCAACAGTTACAAGTAAGGTAAATAAGATAATAATTTGATTTGAACATCATTAAAATGTCTACAAAGGGATCTCAACAATATACACATGTGACTTCAATTCACTTATATACTACAGGCCAAACATTTAATAATCAGAAATGACTGAAATTGGGTGCTGCTTGCTCACCTATAATCCTAGCTACTCAGGAAGCTGAGATTGAGGATTGCTGTTTGAAGCCAGCCTATGCAAGAAAGTCTGTGAGACTTATCTTCAATTAACTACCAAAAAGCCAGAAGTTGAGCTCAAGTGGTAAAGTTCTAGCCTTGAGGGGAAAAAGCTAAGCGGCAGCACCTAAGCCCCAATACTAGCACATACACGGCCCCACCCCCCACTCCCCACAAAGAATCCTAAATAAAATCCTGGGAATAAGTAAAGAAACAGGTAAATTCTATATACAAAACTATATACTCAGTTGTATACAGATTTTCTGGCCACTGATGGTTTATGCCTGTAATATTAGCTACTCAGGAGGCTGAGAACAGAGGAAGCTAGCCCAGGGCAGACAAATCAGTGGGATTTTTATCTCTAATTAAAGAGGGGGAAAAGACTGAATTGGATATATAGCTCAAGTGATAGATTGCTAGTAATGAAGTCAATGGGAAGAAAGAGGAAGAGGTAGAGAGAGGGAAAGACAGCGATGGGGAGAAGAGGGGTGAGGGAGAATTAATCTTGAAAGATAATAACAGATTCTGAGTTCAAGCCTCACACAAAAAAAATCATAGGGCTTTTAAAGGATAATTTTGACTATATTTGGATCTCATTTATGCAATGACTTAAAACTAAACCATGAGCAAGATGAGATTTCAATATCTGGCAGAGTCTTTAACTGTGAATGCCAGATGTGTTTAGATATGCTATTCTAATAGTTTGGGGCCAGTTTTCTTTTCTGTAAAATGAGAACACTGAGACTAGTGATGATTAATTTTATCTGACAATTTAGCTGGGCTACAGTGCTATAATAATCTGGTCAAATATTGTTCCTGATGTTTCTGTTCTGTATGAGATTAATGTTGAAATTACTGGTCTTTTTGTAAAGCACATTAACCCACATGAGGTGAATGGACTACATTCTATTAGCTGGTAGCCTTAAAACAAAGATGAGACTGATATCCCTAGTGCAAAAAAAATCTTTTTTAGACAAGGTATTGTTATGAAGCCCAAGATGGCATGGAACTCGTGCTCTTTCTGCCTCAACCTCCCGAGTACTGGGATTATAGGTCTGTTCCCCAGCACCTAGCACAGAAAAAATTTCTGCCTTTGGACTTGAAACTCATTTCTGTGTTTTCAGTCTATGAGCCAGTTTCATTCTCTTGCTCTCTCCCCTCCCCCTTTCTCTCCCTTTTTCTCTCCCTACCACACCCCCACACACAGAGCCAAAAAGATGTTTTCTTTGAGAATCCTAATACACTGCTCAACAGTTATTGTGGAAATTAAATTGGACAATGCGTGTAATCTTCACAGTACTCAGAATATGGGATAGTGCTTTACAAATGATTACTATCATCTACCAAAGGTCTAGTAGTATACCTAAAACCTTGTTCTCAAAGTTTATGATTCTCTGAATTAGATCTAGGCAAAAGTAAAATCCAGATATCAGATACTTCCTGGATACTTACCTGCTTTTCTCCCTTCATAGTGCCCAAACATGTCAATAGAAAGAAAATTGAGCTCTAATTTTGCAATAATAACCAGGTACTCAATACTATGATAGCTCAATATTATTACCCCATTTTCCTGAAAACGGACCTGTTTGAACACCTGCAGTGAGCCACCTTCTGACTTAAGTTGGACCCCCAAGTTGTTCATGAGTTGATCCATATCTGAAAAAGATAGAAGAGAAAGATGACTTTTAGAACAAGATATATGCATACAGTTGATCACAATTTCCAAGCTACTGATCAGTCTCTGAAATGTTCTTATTTATTCTGCTCACTAAAATTATTTTGATAACCCATTAATATTAGTTGCTTACTTTTCCAAGCCCTGAACTTAGGAAAATCAGTTTCTTCCAGCTTATCCAACTTGCCCTATCTCTATAACAATATCAGCATAGCCAGGCTCTGGTGGCTCATGCCTGTAATCCTACCTACTCAAGAGGCTGAGATCAAAGCCAGCCCAGGCAGGAAAGTCCATGAGACTCTCCTCTAAACTAAAAAAAAAAAACAAAACCCAGAAGCAGAGCTTTGTCTCAAGTGGTAGAGCACTAGCCTTTGAACACAAAAGTTCAGGGACAACACTCAGGCCAGAGTTCAAGCCCCAGGACTGACAAAAAATAGAACACACACACACACACACACACACACACACACACACACACACACACACACACACACAGCAGTCAAAATACAATTGCACAGTCAGCAAGGATACAAAATTATAATAGAACCCAAGAAATTTAAAAGATTAATCTGAAAGCAATTATTTTATTTCTTTAATGTTAAGAAATGAAGAAATCATTGCCACTGGTAGCTCACACCTGTAGTCCCTAACTACTCAGGGTGCTGAGCCCTGAAGATCCCAATTGGAAACCAGCCTGAGCAGATAACCCCAAAAGACTCTTATCTCTAATTAACCACCAAAAGCCTGGAAGTGAAGATGTGTCTAAGTGGTAGAATACCACCAATCCACATTGAATGAAAAAAAAGTGAAAATGTGAGGTCCTGAATTCAAGCCCCAGGACTAGCATGTACATACACAAACACACACACACACACACACACACACACACACACACACACACACACACACACACACACACACACACACCGGGGGAAGGGGAGGGAGAGGGAGAATAAGAGGGAGAAGGAGAAAGACAAAAAGACAGAGATGAAGCAATCATTCCTAGTTAAAAAGTGATAATATACAAGGAAACTTCCATAGCAAATACGAGGAAGACATCTGAGTCACTATCAGAGTCTAGAGAATTTTGACACTTAAAATACTATGTCTCCAATTTTACTTCAAAATACATGACAGAATAGTTCACATTAGAATACTTCACATATGCATCCATTCACTCATCAAATATTTACTGTATAATTAATATGTATCTGAAGTTGTCCTAGGCACATTACTATGAGTTTGGGCTCCAAGTCAACCATTTGGAAAGTATGAAAATACAGCAGAGAAGATTGATCTGGGAATTACATGCCCAAGAACCACATTTGATAATTTTTTTTGCCAAGGACCTTTTCTTCTAAGCTTCAACTTACCTATTTAGAATGAAAGGATTTTAAACTATCTTCCACAGAGGCATAACACTTCTATAGAGCCCTTAGGGCATAGGGTAATAAAAGAAGTATAGTACCAAATTAGAACAAAAGAGAGTTGAAGTTAGAAAAGCCCAATTTCTAATAATACCTTGTTTTTTCCAGTAATATATTCCAATGACCTAGAACACTACCTGCTGCATTATAGGTAGTCAATAAATTTCTGGTGTATGAGGCTAGTGACAGAAAAAGAGAAGGAAAATACGACTTTTTAAAGGACAGAGACTCAGTCCAGCCCCAGTGGCTCATGCCTGTAATTCTAGCTATTCAGGAAGCTGAGCTCCAGATGACTGCAGTTAGAGGCCAGCCCCAGAAGAAATGTTATCAAGACCCCATCTCCAATCTAGCAAAAAAAAAAAAAAAAACTTAAGGCATGGCTCAAGTGGGAGAGGTCCACCATAAGCAGACAGGCCAAGAGAGCAGGAAGCCCTGAGTTTAAGGCCCAGAACCAGCAAGAATTAAAGCCTGGGAAAGAATAAAAGAAAATTAGGTTATATTTGAAGTACACCTGTGATATAATTAGCTATATAAAATACAAGTTAACTACATAGGATACCAGATAACTATGTAATATACCAGAGAGCATAGCTAAGCAATTTCCAGTGGAAATTTCCATGGGAAAAGAAAGTGTGATTCTTTTTTGTTTGTTTGTTTGTTTGTTTTTAAAGTGTTAAATCAAGTAACATTCATATCGACCACAAGGAGGCAGCAAAAAACTAACCAGGCTAGCTTGGTGACTGCCAGAAAAACCCATAGGACAGTGTGGAGGGAATTTAGTTCTCCTTCAGATTCACAGTGCTTTCAATTAGGCCTCATTTTTCTAGCCAGGAAAGATTACAACAGCCATTTCCTATCTGGTCTTTTTCAATTCCTATGGATTAAGACAAGGCAGTGTTGAGGAAGCAGAATGTAGTCAACAAACTACTTGGGGCTGGGAAGGTGGCTCAGTGGTAGGGCGCTTGCCTTGCATGCCTGAGGCCCTGGGTTCGATTCCTCAGCACCACATAAGCAAGAAGAAAAAAGCTGGAAGTGGCGTTGTGGCTCAAGTGGTAGAGTGCTAGCCTTGAGCTGAAGAGCTGAGGGACAGCGTTCAGGCCCCATGACTGGACACCCCCTCCAACACCCAAAAAAAGAAAAAAAGCTACTTTAGAAATCTGTTTCTTCACCTTCCAAAAAGGGAAGAAAAAATATTGCTTTAAAATAGTTAATGTAGCTGGACAGTGTTGGCTCATGCCTGTAATCCTGCTACTCAGGAGGTTGAAAGCTGAGGATCATGGTTCAAAGCCAGACTGGGCAGGGAAGTTTATGAAACTCTGATCTCCAATTAACCAGCAAAAAGAAGGAAGTGGAGCTGTAGCTCAAGTGGTAAAATGCCAGCCTTGAGTAAAAAAGCTAAGGGATAGTTCCCAGTCCCTGAGTTCAAGTCCCAGTATTGGCACACACATATACTCTCTCTCTCTCTCTCTCTCACACACACACACACACACACACAGAAAGACAATGTGATGAGTCCACCTGTTTATGTAAATTCATTCTAAATAATTTTTGACATATAAAATATTATCAAGTAACTATAATTACAATCACTACCACAATCATCATCATTACTGTGCACAGGGTAGAACCTAGGCTGTTATGCAGGCTAGGCAATGCTTTACCACTGAGACACACCTCCAGCCTTTATAATTATTCACAGTCAGAGTCTTGAGCTCTGGTCCAGAATATCTCTTGGGAATCAAACAGGTGCTTTTGAAATTAAAAAAAAAAAAATCAAACCTTGAATTACCTTTAATTTTCAAGTAAATTACATACAGCAATCACAACAATTTTAAAGACAAAGATGGTCCTATTTTGAGGTCCCAACAATAAACTCAAAAGTCTGTAACAAGAAGGCACAGTGGTTCATGCCTATAATCCTAGCTACTCAGATTGCTGAGATCTGAGGATCAGTTTGAAGCCAGCCTGGGCAAAAAAGGCTATGAGATTCTTATCTCCAATTCAGCCACAAAAAGCTAAAAACGGAGGTGTGGTTCAAATGGCAGAGAGCCAGCCTTGAGCAAAGAAGCTAAAGAACAGTAGCACAGTCCTTGAATTCAAATTTCATTATTGGCCCATACACACGTGTGTATGTGTGCGTGTGTATACACAAGTCTGTAAAAAATAAGGGCTCTGATGAACTGTTTATAAATACTTTAGTTAGAGAATATACTGAAAGTCAAGTTTGTTTGTAATCTTCAAAAAAAATTCCTGATAATCCTCGAGTGGTGGTTGTTATTATTTAACATTCTTGTTAAATTCATGCGTTGAATTAGTTATCAAGTTTAGCAGCTTCTCCTTATAATTTATTATGGACTTCAACTGGCCATTTTTGCAACTTCTACAATTCTCTTTGTAGTGATTTTCCTGCTGCTAACTATGTTAGTACAAAGATGCCCACTTCAAATCTATGATGCCATTGATATCAAATGACGCACAAGAGAATGAAATGTACCACCCCTCTCATGACCCAGTAACCCAAATGAAGTAAATCCTTTATCAAACAAGGAAATCCACTTCTAAACAATGATAGTCCACTGAAGGCAGAGAAAAATAAGACTGAACCTCAGTTTCTGCTTTCTGGAGAACACTTTTGGTCCCCACTCCACCCTACCCCCAAGTCATCAAATAGGTCTTCAAAGAAGTTGAATAAAATGAGTCTCTTGGGCTGGGAAGGTGGATCAGTGGTAGAGTGCTTGCCTTGCATGCATGAGGCCCTGAGTTCGATTCCTTAACACCACATAAGCAGAAAAAAGCAGAAGTGGTGCTGTGGCTCAAGTGGTAGAGCGCTAGCCTTGAGCTAGGAACAGTGCCCAGGCCCAGAGTTCAGGTCCCATGACCAACAACAACAACAAAAAAAGAGTCTTGTGCTGAAAAAATTTTCTGAAGATACCACCTTGGTTCTAGAATGAGAAGCCAAACTCAAATGGGCTGTCAAAATGACTTCTACCTTCTCTTCTACCATTTAATCCTTCTTTGCCCTATTTGTCATACATGTCCTGTTTTTAAGCAACTGGTAACACCTCATATGCCTCAGCTACATATTTGAATTTTCTCTCTGTCAAGCAGGTTTTTATTCTTAATGAATTTGGAAACATAACCACATCTTATATATTCAATCTTAATTTCTAGTATCCCCATCGATCTAGTCTGCCAAACTAAAAGTCTGACAGTCATTCCCTTGTGTCTCTCTCTACATACTCCTCTAGGTGATTATCAGATTCAACTAATTCTACTATGGAACTTTCTAGCTCTTCATCATCTCTAGTCACTTCTAGTATCCTCCATATTGTTATCAAGCATGGTAAAATGAGTGTGTTCAACAGTTAAATGCCTGGGGTCACATCCTGGCTCTGCGGCTTCTCAACAGGTTTTACCTGCTCCCTGTGTCTGTTTTCTCATTCGTAAAATGGGAATAAACCATCTAATAGAATTGTTATAAGAACTTACCAAGTTAATATGTGTTCAAGCGTTTACAACAATACCTGCCACAAGGAAATGTTGATTCCTCCCTGCATTACTGGGTCTCTCAATAATTACTTGTCTTGTTTTTCTCTGTATCTTTATCTTTTAGCTCAATATCTCCTACATACTATGTCCTAATATCCAACCAATAAATAATCTTTAGGATGAGGAAAGTTAGGAAGTGGAGGTATGGCTCAACTGATAAGAGTGTCAGCCTTGAGAGAAAGAGTTAAGTGAGAATGTGAGGCCCCAGTGCCAGCACACACAAACACATTTTAAAAAAGAAATGAAGAAGATTTAGGCCAGATTCAGATCCACATTTCTCTAGCTTCAAAAAAAGCTTGGAGATAGTTCTTGCCCTCCCCATATCTCAAATGTCATAAGTATGATAGTAGATAATTAGGAATGGCTCAGTTATTTCTGGTTTGAGCCAAATGGAATAACCATTGGATAATTCTACTCAACATTCTAGAGACTAGCTAGTATGAGGAAAAATTATTGGGAAGTCGAACAAACTTTTTCTAAGATTTTTCATCTTCAACTATGCAAAATGGACAATGAAAGGGAATTAGGATACACAGATCTTAATGACTCCATTTTTTTTTAAATGTTAAAATTAAAAGCTTTATTCTCCCATTATTTGTTTCTAATATTGCCTGTTTATAACTACCAGCCAAGAGCCTTCTCTGGACATATTCTGTCACATGTGCAAGACTATTTAAAGTGTCTACCTATAAGGGTAATTAGATATAGGGGATATGATTCTGCTCAACAGTTTTCTATTTTTCAATTCTAAAGGCTTAAAAATGTAACTGTAGTGTAACTTATTATATATACAGTTAATAGAGTTAACAGAATCACTGGAAATGATATGATCCACTATTTAGGATGAGAGTTCTTAAGAATTAAGTTCAACTGGATGCTGGTGGAGGGCTTTATAAATCTCTCACTTTTCTCTGTTATTTGAATTATTGTTCCAAGTGTCTAAGAGAAGCCAGACAGATGTTCAGAAGTTGACAGTGAGGGATACAGTAAAGAAATATTAAAAAAAAAGTTACAATGTGTAATGGCCTGGGCCTTTGAGATGTAAATCACCCAATCAGGAGGGTATTGGGATTAAAAATTATCTACTTGTAGTAGCCATCATTCTGCTTGGATTGGCTCTGCAAGTCTTTGTGCCTGGCTGCTGCTTTTTTCTGGTACTTCTCCTAAGGGCAAAGATATGGAGAAATAGAGGAGAAAGATTGAGCCCCATCTCTAGTACTTCATCTCTCATATATGAAGACTATAACAAAGCATAGTTAAGAAAGTATGTCATAAGAATTTTTCAAAGTATATAACTTTTGTTTATTTTGTTGCCCAAATAGCATTTCCTATAACGATCTGCTTGCTTTACAAAAGTGAATAGTCTCTCTAAGGTACAGAAGGAGGTGGCTCACTAAGAAAGACCACCCTCTACTCCTTAGCAAATCTTCCAAGGAAAAGCAATGCCCAGAGATGAAGCAGAAACTTCAGGAAAGAAGCAGGGAAAAGAAAGCTTTCAAGGAATCCCCATCTTACAGATAAGTAATTTGGAGGCCCATGGTCACATAATTTAGAAGTACAGCAATCAGAACTAGAATTTTTGTCCTCTGATTCAAATTACAGTGCCCTCTTACCATTTTCTAATACTCCTGGGTCTGGTGAACATTTTCTTTCTGAAAAACTGCTAAAAAGAACACGTTTAGCCAGGCGCCGGTGGCTCATGCCTGTCTGTATTACTAGCTACTCAGGAAGCTGAGATCTGAGGATCGTTGCTCGAAGCTGGCCGGGGCAGGAAAAGTCCACGAGATTCTTATCTCCCATAAACTAATAAAAAAAAAAGCTGGAAATGGAGCTGTGGCTCTAGAGGTAGAGGGCTAGCCTTGAGCAAAAGAAGCTCAGGAGCAGTGCCCAGGCCTTGAGTTCAAGCTCCAGGACCTGCACAAAAAACAAACAACAAACAAAAAACACATTTAAATACAACAACTTAATCATTTAAGAAGATCTTCTACATATATCTTTCATCCTCATCCTCAGAAATGCTGGAATGATTAAAAATGAAAATCATTATTTTGGAGTTTTGAGCTTATATGTCATTGTTAAAGTATTATTTGTGTTGTGATTATTAGAAAAATAAAGAATAGATTACACATGAATTTTCAGATAGTTTTATTTTGCATCCTATGGGAGAATGGACAGTAATGGTGGTGATAAAAAGCACTTTAATAGTCAACATTCACTCACTACCTATGAAGTAACAGGTAAAAGTTAAAAGAATAAATATGCTAGGCGAGGTGACTCACACCTGTAATCCTATCTACTCAGGAGGCTACTCGTGTTTCAAAGCCAACCCAGGGCTGGGAAGGTGGCTCAGTGGTAGAGTGCTTGCCTTGCATGCATGAGGCCCTGGGTTCAATTCCTCAGCACCACATAAACAGAAAAAGCCAGAAGTGGCGCTGTGGCTCAAGTGGTAGAGCGCTCGCCTTGAGCTGAAGAGCTGAGGGACAGTGCCCAGGCCCAGAGTTCAGGTCCACGACCGGCAAAAAAAAAAAAAAAAAAGCCAACCCAGGCAGAAAAATCTGTGAAACTCTCATCTCCAATTAATCAGCCAAAAGCTAGAAATGGAGATGTGGCTCAAGTGGTAGAGTACCAGACTTGAGCAAAGTAGCTCTTGAATTTAAGCCCCAGTACTAGCAAAGAAAGTGTATGTTAGTTCATTTAAACCCCATAACCCTAGGCTTAAGTAATATTACATTTACCACTGAACTAATTGTTTAAACCACTAGTTAGTAGTTAACTATTTTAATTTTGAAGTAATAGGTATGAAAATCAGGGCCTCACACAATGGGCAATCACAGTTCTGAGCTACACCATGGTACACATCATTTTAAAGAAGTAAGCTAACAGAGGATGCAGAGATGGATCCTCAAATCACTCAGCTAAATAAACGACAGAAAGGCCAGGCACTAGTGGCTCATGCTTGTAATCCTAGCTACTCAAGAGGCTGAGATCTGAGGATCATGATTCAAAGCCAACCTAGGCAGGCAAGTCTGTGAGACTCTTATCTCCACTTAACTACCCAATAAAGCAAGAAGTAGAGCTGTGGATTAAGTGGTAGAGTGCTAGACTTGTGCACAAAAGCTCTGGGACAGTGCCTAGGCCCTGAGTTCAAGCCCCAGAAACCACACAAAAAAGGACAGAAAGGAGATGTAAGTGCCAGCAACCTGGAACTTCAGTAGAGCTGTAACGAAGTTATAATGTCAATGTGTCTACTCAACATGTGCTTTTAGAAACTCCCAGCACAACTGTATATGCTTACTAAGTACAAACTATTCAATAAAGGTAGTCTGAAAGATTCTCCAATTTCTCTCATTTTCTCCATACAGGTCCACAGCTACTGCCATAGGCATCATAGGAAAACTTAACCTCAAAAAAAAAATCATAATGCAGTGTCCTAGTAGCAATCTCCTCATTCAAGAGTTCCAGCATACACAAAAGCCAGAATGTGTCTGAGGTAACATGTCTAGCCACAACAGTGTGCTCTCATGCTGAATGCTGGTGGCTCATGCCTGTAATCCTATCTACTCAGAAGGCTGAGATCTGGAGGATCAAACTTCAAAGCCAGCCTGGGCAGAAAAGTCTGTAAGACTTTATCTCCATTTAATCAGCCAAAAGATGGACAGGAGGTATGCCACAAGGGGTAAAGTGCCAGCTGTGATCAAGAAAGCTGAGTGAGACCAGGCCCTGAGTTCAAGCCCCAGAACCAGCAGAAAAACAGTAAATAAAATAAAAAGATAAGAGAACTCTAAAAATTTATGAGAGCATATTATTATAGAAATATTGAAGGCTAACAACACATACCACATGTGAATGTCAGGGGCAGAAAGAAAGAAATTGTTAAACTATTACAACACATAGTTAAGTGTTTTCATGAGGTAATGAAAAGATAAGATGATAAGATAGACCAGAAAAGAACTATATGACTTCAGAGTCATTTGACTTTTTTCATATGTAAAATGGGAGTTAAATCAATCCAGCTCTGTCCCCCTCATATGGTTGTCAATAATCAGTGATGACAACACATGTAAAATGTTTTGTAAGATGTAATTATAAAAATCTCTGTAAGTTTTCAAGATCACTGTCAGAAAATCACAAAATAAAGTATAAAAACATTTTTTTAAAAATCAATTTTAAAAAATCAATCCAGTTAGAGTAATAGCTACCACACGTACGTGCACGTGCAAACAGGCACGCGCACACACACACACACACACACACACACACACACACACACACACACACACACACACACACACACACACCCCTTGCTGGTAACCAGAAAATCATGCTTGCTCAACATGCTAGCTCACAGCTGGCACCCTATCATTTGAGCCATACCTCCATACCTGCTTTCTATTGATTACTTTGGACATGGTGTCTTATATACATTGCTGCCTGGGTTGGTGTCTTACTACCATCCTCTAGATCTTAGCCTCCTGAGTAGCTAGGGTTAAAGTCACAAGCCACTGGTGCCTGACTGTATGTATGTATATATGTATATATGTATATATGTATATATGTATATATGTATGTATGTATGTATTTTGCAGGGGCTTAAACTCAGGCCTGGGTATTGTCCCTGAGCCTCTTTGTGCTCAAGGCTAGCATTCTACCATTTGAGCCATAGCACCACGTCTGGCCTTTCCTGAGTAGTTTATTGGCAATAAGAGTCTCATGGATTTTCCTACCTGGGTTGGCTTCAAACCATGATCCTCAAAGCTCAGCTTCCTGAATAGCTAGGGTTACAGGCATGAGCCACTAGCATTTGGCTTTATTTTATTTTTAAAATAAGTTTTTGTATTGGTACTATGGTTTGAACTCAGGGCCTTGTGCTCTTATCCTTTTTTTTTTTTCTCAAGGCTAGCTCTCTATGACTTGAGGCATTTCCACTTCATTTCTAGTTAATTGAAAATAATTAATCTCATGGACTTTTCTGCCTGGGCTGGCTCCAAACCAAGAGCCTCAGAGCTCAGCCTCCTGAATAGCTAGGGTTATAAGTGTGAGCTCCCAGCACTCAACTGGCTGTATTTTTGCTATATTTGTTTCCACTCTCCAATTAGTTCAAATTGTATAAAATCACTTTCATAACCTCTATCATCCACTTGTCCTCTCTTCAGATACTGATGAGCTTTTCCACAAAAAGAAAAATATGTATTACTATTGACCTCACTAAACACAACAGGAAATATAGTCTCAGAAAGATAAGTAATCCTAAAGTTATATACATTGGTAAGTGACTAATCTAGATGTGATGTCCAAGAGAAAAGCTCTTTTTCTCCCTTAAATACTTACTACAACCTTTTGGAGTAGTTTGGTAAAGTTGAAAATAATAGTAATGGAAGTACTTTTGTATCATTATGAAAAGCTCTACGTTTTAACATTTGCAAAGAGTGCTAAAGGATTCTCACTAATTGCATGCTCATCAAAAAAACAAAACTTCCTGGAATCACAATTCTAGCATGGCACTGAGGCACCAGTTTACAAAAGGGACAAAAGGGCCCAGCATAAAAGTCTCATACTCCACAACAGCATGTAAAATGCCATGTGATCCTCTTCATCACTATATAACTTTTTTTCTAAAAGGAACCTCTCTCCAACAACTAAACGTGGTGCCACTGCAGCAACCTAAAGGAATTTGTAAGAATACTATGAAGTTGGTAGATATGAGGGAGAATGATGAAAGTGATGACATTGATCCAAACGCCTTGTACTCACAAACTGAAATACTGAATTGAAACCCCTTTGTACAACTACTTAAAGATAACTTTTTTTGTCAGTTGTGGGGCTTGAACTCAAGGCCTGGGCATTATCCTTGAGCCTCTTTTTCCTCTAGCATTCTACTGCTTGAGCCACAGTGCCACTTCTGGCTTTTGAATGGTTAATTGGACATAAGAGTCTCACAGAGACTTTTCTACCCAAGCTGGCTTCGAACCTCAATCCCCAGACCTCAGCCTCCTGAGTAGCTAGGATTACATACATGAGCTACCAGCACCCAGCTTAAAGATAATTTTTAAGGTAAATTATTTTTTAAATATAATAATCCATGAAGTGCTGGTGACTCACAGCTACTCGGGAGACTGAGATATGGATTGCCATTCAAAACCAGTCTGGGTAGCAAAGTATGTGAGACTCATATCTAATAAACTATTAAAAAAAAAAAAAAAGCAGCTGGGTGCTGGTGGCTCACGCCTGTAATCCTAGCTACTCAGGATACTAAGATCTGAGTTTTGCAGTTCAAAGTCAGCCCGGGCAGTAAAGTCCCTGAGACTCTTATCTCTAATTAACCACCAGAAAACTGGAAGTGGCACTGTGGCTCAAGTGGTAGAGCGCTGGCCTTGAGCTGAAGAGCCCAGGGACAGCGCCCAGGCCCAGAGTTCAAGCCTGGAAATTGACCCATAAAAGCCAGAAGTGGAGCTGTGGAGCACCAGTCTTCAGCAAGAAGAAGCCCAGGGAAAGCAGCCAGGTCCTGAGTTCAAGAGCCAGAACCAGCTATAAATAAATAAATAAATTTTCATTTAACCATAAAAAGTACAATGATTCTCATCCATGTTTAATACAAAAAGCGCTTAAGGGCAGAGACGTAGCCTCTTGAATAGCCTTTTCACTCTTAGCTTGGGCTAAACCTAACTCAGGAGCACCAAGTCAAATAGTACTAGGAGGG